GCGAGCATTTTGTAATTTAACTGCCGGGTGCGGATTTATATTGGAATTGTATAATGTGAAAATATTCTCAATGGAACGCGGCACAATACCAGGATTAACGTCATCGCCTAAAGAAACAATTATTTTTAAACAAATCATATAATTTTACTTTAATTGAATTTTACCTAATAGTGTAAAAGTCTTTCTGGAACCAGATGTACCATAAGTCAGCACTGTGAAACTTTCCTCCAATTTTATTTTGTCACTTATACACTTATTGTGTACGCCCTTTTGACTATCATTATTATCGAATATCGCGCTGAAGGTAAAATGTTTTTCCATTGCTGCTTTATTGTTACTTGTCGTTGTTTGATCTAAACGTGGGTTCACCACAAGAGTATTTCCCATGCCTGCAATTTTATATGACGATGAAGGAGAATTAACAGGACGCAGTCGTAGATACACCATGGCCCCATCTTCTCCAATAGTACTTGTTTTCGATATGTCACCACTTGCTTTGAATATATTCTTCGGACATGGACGAAATCGCCGATCTATGCTTGGCTCGGGTCCATTAATGAACGAGAGCACATTGCGTTTTGTTCTGTCTTCGTCTCTGGACATTTTTTCTTTATTATAACAAACAAAAACATAAAAAACAATAACACAAAAACACAAAAATACTTTGAAGCACTAAATTTAAGTTTGTTTAAGTATTGTTTATTTCTCCAGGAAAATTAACAAACTTGCTTCCAAACACAATATTGGTTAAAATGGTACTTTTGTCAACAGTTAATCCGGTGTAAATAGCATTCATGCGTTTGCTCAAACCAGGAAGCATTATTAGTGGCTTTAGGGACTTCTATACATTTTTTCAATATAATTTTTCTTACTTTTCTAATATTTTTATTTTCTTTAAAATACTTTTCAAACACTTTTATATGAATCTTAAAAATATTTTTTAAAATAATCACAAAAAGTCACCAAAAATTCAAACTATTAAGAAATAGTTCCTTTTGAGGTAAAATATATGCACAAATGTGCAATAAAAACATACATATTAATATACTGCAGACTTAATATCTCCAATATCACATTCGTACATACATAATGGTTTTTGTAGTGCATCATTTGTTGCAATAAAAAAAATAATATATTCTATTACTCTTTACTCCTATGATATGGGCCTTTCCAGTACAAGAAGATAAAGCAACAAAGTATATCGACAAATTATTTGAGGGATTTCTTTACCATTCACTTCGTTACTAATCCATGTATATTAATTAAATAGACAAATAAAAACAAGAAAGGTAAAAGAAACAGGCGTATAAAAACAATTGTGGGTTGCAATGAGTTTGAACTGAACATCATACCAGTTGTGACTCGATCAAACATTGTTGCATGAGGTTGGGTGGATTTATTATAAATCCACCAGCAAAATAAAGTGGGTATTTCGTTGGTATGAGCGTGGCACTTCTTTGTACTATAGATTCTTTGCTCAGAGTATATCTGAAAGAGATATCAAGTCAATTTATTTGCAATACAAAATCTTTTACATATTAAAATATCTGCATTCTGAAGATTCCTGTCATCACACTCGAATATAATCGAAGACAGATCACATCAAGCAGTCTATTCAAAATTCTCGACATAATACATAATCCACGTATATGAATGTAGTGAAGGTCCTATCAATACTTGTTATATTCTCATAACAATTTATGTTATTTATTTTTTTAATTAAAGTAATTTAATTTCAAGTTGTATTAGATCCAGAATATACCCGACCAGAACAAACTTTTTGTTTCTGAGAACTAGACCTGAATGAACCGCTTAAATGCAAAAACTGTCAGAAGAAGTAAGATTGAAAGCACCTGTGCCTGTCTATATATATAAAAATAACTATATTCTTGTAAATTAATGATTTTTATCTTATCTTAAAAGACTGTAGATTCTCTTACGAAGCTTAAAACAAATACAAAACTAAAAACTCTCTTTCGTTTGAATATCGCGCTTGCATTTTTCTATTGGGGATAAATTTAGGTTCTCTGACAATGGAACACATTTCTAGACTTGACCCGCTTTATATGTTCTTAATTATGCACTCTGAACAAATTCCAATATATTTGTAACTATTTTTGTGATTGTAGTTTATGTATTAAAAATTAATATTTATATAGAAAAAAATTTTTATTTACTTACTAAAAGAAATAATTAAGCAAATGCAATGTTTTTTATAATTATTTTGTTTATAAATTCAATTGAATGTGTGAATCGTATGAAAAATGTGAAAATAATTATTTTATTATCTTTGTGTCAATTAAATTTGTAAAAAAAAAAATAAACATGAAACTGCATAAATGAAATAAAGATTAAAATCTCGATTTCATCAAGCGATTAATTAATTCGATGTAATTAATTATTTCAATTTTGTGTAATTATGTACTTACAATTATTTTATTTATGCATTCCTTAGGTTAAAAACTGATAAGATAAAAAGCTTTCATATATTTATGTAAATTAAACTTAGTGTAAATAAAGAATTTAATATTAATAATGAGTAAACTAATTTAATATACTAATATATAAATATATGTAATAAAATAAAAATTATAAAATAAACTATTTTAAATGTCTGTGAACAAATGCAAATGATATTATTGTGTATTAATATAACTACAATTAAAAAATAAATTATGATTACGAAAAATTAAAAATAATTAGTGTTAATCACTCAAATCTTTGGCAAAAAATATGTCCATAAAACAAAAAAAAAAGTTGTGACAAATTTTTCAATTTATTTAAACGCTTAATATAAACAATTTTATAATTTAATAATTCCTTTAACTTAATTTATTTTAAAATTAATTGCAATGAAACTTCACTACAGATGATAGAAGAAACGACAAGTAACAAAAAACTGAAATGATCAAAAACTAATTGAGTCAGAATGGACTCCATATTTTTACATTTTATATATTGAAATTATGACAAAATATTTTTACAAATATACAATACGTAAATGCATCTATGGCCGGATATTGATGTTTTCTAATTGTGTCAGACTTACCTATATGAATTAAGAAAATAATGTCAAGAACCGTTCATTAGTGCAGACAAGATAATGAACTAACAAGATATTTGTGATAGCTCGATCTACTGGAATCTGTCGGCTTTGGTAACAGTAAATAAAAGAAGACAGCTTAATAAATGTTAAGAAATATATTTAAGCTTTCAAGTTTCATTCGAAATTAAAGTATGCAGAGATATTTTCGAGTACATTTACTGTAAGTGGGCTGATATTGTTCTCAGGGTTTTGATGTTATTTAGCGAAATATCTTCTAACTTTCAAGGTTCCTAATGTTGTTACTGTTCCTGTAGCTTATTTAGATATATATGTAGCAAATAACATGAAATACGAGTATGTGGGTTAGGATGTGGTTAGGTGAAGGATATGTAATACACAAGGGGATTGTTTAGGAACAAGAGTGGATTATGGATGGATTAGATTTTAATTGAAGCTAAACTCAAGACAAGGCGGAGAAACAGCCACTTCAATCAGTCTGAACCAATGATCGATTAGATTCAATATTATGGTGCATAAGAATAATAAGACAGATGTGCGATGGGATATGAAGGAAATGAGGAGAAGCTGCATTTGGACATACATTGGGAATAACCGCATTTATACTTGACAAGTAACTCTTTTGCTATAGCTATAGCTGCAGTTTTGGCTATATCCTGACCTTAATGAAGATTAGAACAATTCTTACTGCACGCTTTTGCCTGCGAATGTTAGACTGACGCATGTTTAGTACTTTGTTGCTATGCACTTGAGGTCTCAAAAGAGAAACTGCATCTGTGTGTGTGGTTATTAATCCATGTTTGTATTCGATCGTTTGATTTCTGTTTGTGTGACGTGTCATGAAGCATCTAAAAGGGTGTTAATACGACACGAAATCTCACATGATTTACTTTGGGATATCTAAAGTAAATACTGTGTACAACTCTACCTCTGTGGGCAAGGTTGTTTTTGGGATACTATACTATAGAAGTAAAATACAGGTAAAGTCAACCTTTCTGATTTCTGTGTATACGTTTTGTAAATAAATCATTTATATATTTAATGTGTAACTTAGATCTGCATTCTGTGTTTACATTTCTGCCTTAATATATCTATTTTATGACCAACACTCTACCCGTACATCTTACGGATTGAAAAGTTGATTTTGGTGTACATTCCAGGTCGACCTATTATTGTGTGGTGTGTTTGTTGTTTTTAATATTAAAAATCCCTTACTCAAGTTTAAAATGTGTTTTATTTTTTTACTTAATCCAAGTCCACAAATGAATAAAAATTTAATTTATCTCCTGTGGACTTCTTTATATAGAGGAAAAAAATAGACAATTAATTTAATTAAATTATTTTGTATATCAAATTTTCAAGTATCATTGAAAAAAGGGCCACAAAAGGGAATATACATTGTAATTGTAAATTATGTGCATTGTGCTTTGTGTAGTTAACAAAATTCATTACACAAAAAATGTTCAATGAAAAAACAAACACTTGAAAAAATAAAAGTTCAACATGAAAGCAACCGCAACCGCAACACAATAAACGAATTATTAACAAATAAAAAAAATAATTAAAAAATTAAAACATAAATTATAATAGAAAAAATAATATTTATTATTTTATGAATAAACATTAAAAATATTGTTTATTTATTATGTGCAATTGTTTGTATGAGGATCCAAAAAAAGGACTTATAAATATAATTTCTCATGTAATTTAAGCGCAAATTTTAAATTACACGAAATCGCCGGGGGCTAGATACGAATTATATGTCTGAGTTAAAGTTAAAATGTCTAGTTATTTTAGTTGCTAGAAAGCATAAAACTCCTTTTTAAATATATTTTTTAACAAGTATATTAAATTCAGATATGTTAACAATGAAATAAATCTGGTGGAAAGCTTCGTGAGCCACAGTGTAAGACTTAAACTCATTGAAACTATCGCTTAGGAATGCAAAATGGACAAATTTTAACAATTGGACCATTAAGATCAATAGTTGAAACTTAATTCCTATGATTAAATGAAATACAGATATTCTAGTACAGATGGCTTAGTATCTAGACAACAAATGTAGCTAAGCGAACATTGGAAATAAATGGTGAGGGAGAGAGGAAGAGAGGATGTTCTTGCTAGGATGATTTTTTCCAGATAAAGGGCCAGTAATTGAGGAGGCTTGTACCTTATATTATTAAATAGGTCGACACAAATTGTATTGGGTGAAATTTATAATGAAAAAGATTATGATTCATGGTAAATTGCGAATATCTTTGCACTAGGGATAACACGAAATTACCATTAATTACAGATATGATGAAGCATATGACAATTGAATTAAGTTTTTCGGAATAGTCTTTATTTACTTATGAATAATACATTGCAGTATCCGTAACAACCCTGTAGTAAGTTTTAACTATGCGTATTATTATTGTTGTATTGTTCTAATCTGATGAAAAACAGGAAATAAATATTAAGAATAGTTAGGAAATTATCTGAAAATTATTTTCTGCTGAATTTTGACTTAATTCTAGAAAATTTGATTCAAAATATTTGCAAAACAGTGCAAAAATATTGAAATATGGTTAGTTACATCATACGAGTATGTATGTATTATATTTTGTATAAAATTGAATATAAAGACTAAATAATTAATAGTTTTAGTCAAAATTTGTGCACTTTTCCTAGTTGTGGGTACATCAATTTCATCGAATGATTGCAATTAAAAAGATTAAAAGCTTTAGTCGGTAAAACCCTTAGCATCCAATTTTATATCAATTAACAACCAAGCACAAATACATATAAAAATTTTACTGTTGATGTAGCTGCTTGGCGCTTTGTAACTGTAACCAATC